ACGGAAGGATTGCCTGAGCCCAGCAGGTCAAGGCTGCAGTCGCTGTGAGCATGCCACTGCACCCTAGCCTAGGCAACAGAGTAAGATTCCAGCTAAAAAATAAAAATAAAAATAAAAAATTCATCCTCAACATTTTGTTCAAATATAAAGAAAACCCATCTGGACCTACAGGCAAGCAGGATAAAGGTGTTACTCTCAACTTACCCCCTCACACCCACCCTCCTCCACCCCAGTATTCTGAGGGATAAAGAGGTATCCCACCAGTCTAGAGTCCTGTGAAGAGCATGAAGAAACTCATTAGGGTTAGAGCAAATGTCCATAAGAATAGTGCAGAAGTTTTCTATGCTTTTCTGTGAAAAGGAGGACAGGACCTAGAAAATGAAAACAGAAGGATGAGCAGGACACTGTGGTTCTTGTCAGCTGTCTGGAGCAAGAATATCAGGGAATGAACTGCAATGCGCTCAGGAATATCTATTAGGGTTACTGCTAAAGATTCAGTCATTGAAATGCAAATCAAAACCACATTGAGATACCACCTAACCCCAGTAAGAATGGCCATCATTAACAAAACAAACAACCACAGACGCTGGTGAGGATTCTGAGAAAAAGGAATGCTTCTACACTGCTGGTGGGAATGCAAACTAGTGCAACCTATTTGGAAGGCAGTGTGGCGATTTCTGAATAAAACTAGAAATTGATCTTCCATATGACCCGGGAATCCTTCTATTGGAAATATGCCCAGAGGAACTCAAATCATTCTACAAAAAGATACCTGCACACATATTTGTTGCAGCTCTATTCACAATAGCAAAAACATGGAACCAAACAAGCTGCCCATCAAAGCTGGACTGGATTTTTTAAAAATGTGATACATATACACAATAGAATATTATGCAGTCATAAAGAAGGACAAACATATGGACTTCATAGTAACTTGGATACATTTAGAATCTATCATACTCTGTGATCTATCACAGAAACAAAGAACAGAGTACTATATGTTCTCAATTATAAGCAGACCTTGAACAATTATCATGGCTGGGCTCGGTGGCTCAGCCTGTAATCCCAGCACTTTGGGAGGCTGAGGCAAGTGGATTGCCAGAGTCCACAGATTCGAGACCCACTTGGGCAACTTGGCAAGGCCTCGTCTCTACAATAAATCAAAAATTAGTCGGGCGTGGTAGCACATGCCTGTAGTTCTGGCTACTTGGAAGGCTGAGGCAGAAGGATCATCAGAGCCCAGTAGGTCAAGGCTGTGGTGGCTGGGAGCGTGCCACTACACTCCAGTCTGGGCAACAGAGTGAGACTCCAACTCAAAAACAAAAAAACCAAAAAGAACAATTATCACAATACTATAAGAAAGGGATTGGCAATAGTGGGAAACTGCCAGGGGAGATGGGGTGGGATTGGCAGTTGAGGGAAACTGCCAGGGGAGGGAGGGGCACACCTCATCAGCAAGGGTACCTGCATGATAAACATTTGTATACCTAACCCTGAAGTGCACCCCACATCTTTAAAATAAAATAAAATAATAAAAAAAGATCCAGTCTTTTTCTGATGGCATTTAAAGGAATTATGGAGAAGGAACTGTTGGTGTTATAGTCACTCTACTTTCCAGAATTACCTCACCTAGGGATTTGAGAGGATCAGAAAAGGTTAGCTACCTACATCTGTTACTTCTTCATTTCCTGTGGGAATAATGCCTACAAAGTTGGTGGGTTTTTTTCCTCATTCACATCAGTAAGGAAGCTTCAACTTTCAGTAGCAACTTAATCTTTTTCTTTAACATCCTTGCTTAGAAAAAAAAAAGTCCAAAACATCATCATTATTAATAGCTACTGTATTAGCATGCAACTGCTGCTGTAACAAATTGCCACAAACTTAGAGGCCTAAAACAACACACATTTAATATCCTCCAGTTTAAGATGTCAAAAGTCTAAAATAGGTCAGCAGCAATAGAATAGGTCAGAGGTCAGGTGTTCCTCCTGGAGGTTCTAAGGGAGAATCTGTTTCCTGGCTTTTTCCAGTTTCTAGAGGCTGCCTACATTAATTGGTTTATGACCTTTTCCTCTATCTTCAAAGCCAGCAGAGTAGCATCTGCTCTCCTCTCTGACCTCATGCCTGCCTCTTACAAGGACTCTTGTGATAAATTGGGCTCATCTGGATAATCCAGGATAATCTCGCATCCAAGATCTTTTATTTAATCCCATCTGCAAAGTCACTTTTAAATATAACATAACATACTCACAGTTCTGGAAATTAGAATGTGGATATCTTTGGCGACCAGTTACTATCTATAAAATGTGTTCTATGTGACAGGTACTATATCAAAAGTATGTCATGTTATTTCATTATTCCTTAAAACAATCATGTGGTTGTTTTATTGATAAGAAAACAGAGGCTCAGAGTTCAGAGGCCCTCTCTCCTAAACCCTAGGTGAGTCTATCCAACTGTCTACTTGGATGTGTAACAGGCCTCTCAAATTTAACATGTCCAAAACTAATCTCTAGTGATTCCTCCATAAAACCTGCTCTACCAGCAGAAATCCCATCTGAGCAATGGCACCATCTTTACAGCTGCTTAGGCCATTAGAATCATCCTTGACTCCTCTGTTTATCTCACATCTCATATCTGATCTGTCACAAAATCCAGTTAGTTGTATCTTCAAATATCTCCAGAATCTGACCATATTGCATACATTGCTACCCTCAACCCTCAGGTCCCAGCCTCCCATCAGCTATCTGTCAGATTATTACAGTAGTGCTTTAATCAGTCTTCTTATTTCTGTCCTTGTCTCCAATTAATGTTTTCAACAGCTAGAGTGATCTTTTGAAAAACATAAGTAAGAGCATGTTACTCCTCTGCTAAAAACATTCTCATGCCTTTCTTACTCATTCAGAAGAAACACCAAAGTTCTTTCTATAATCCCCCAGGCCCTATCAGATGTGACTTCATCTCCTTCTACTTCCCCTTACTCACTTCATTCCAGCTACATTGACCTTCTTGCTGTTCTTTGAACATTCCAAGTATGCCTCTGCTTCAGGGCTTTGCGCTTGCTATTTTCTCTGTGTGGAATACCTTCCTCCAGATATTGGCATAACAAACTTCCTTGCCTCCTGGAGGTCTTTATTCAGATGTCATTTTGTAGGGAAGCCTCTCTTAGCTACATTACCTAAAATATTAAGCCACCCCTTCATCTCTAACATTTAAAAAAAATCTCTAACATTTTACAGCCTCCCTTTTTGTTTTATGTTTTCTCCTTAGTACTTATCTCTGCCTAACCTACTATATATATTACCTGTATATTAGGTAGGCATATGTGTATATACCTAGTTGGGGTACCTAATCTCCAAAATGACCCTTAGTCAGTCTGGCCTCTCGGTATTCAAGCCTCCTTCCACAATGAATAAGGAAGACCTCTATGACTAATAGGATAGTTCAGGAAAGACTGCATGTGACTCCAAAGCTAAGCCATAAAAAACACTGTGACTTTTGCCTTTGTCTTTCTTAGATCACAAACTCTAGAGTAAGCCAGATATCATGTTGTGAAGATACTCAAGCAGCTCTGTGGAGAGGTCCACTTAGTGAGGAAATGAAGCCTCCTGCCATCAGGAAGTACCATCTAGCTGTCCATGTTAGTAAGTCATTTTGGAAGTAGATCCTCCAGACCCAGTCAAACCTTCAGATGACTATAACCCTAGTTAGTGTCTTGACTGCAATCTCACGAGAAACCCTGAGCTAAACCACAACTAAGTTGCTCCCAAATTCTGTCCTACAGAAACTAGGAAAGGAAAAATCTGTCAATTAGGCCATGATTCACAATGAATGTGAGAGTCATCCCAATTTGAAAGATGTGGGAAAAAATGTACATTTTTTAATTGATGAAATACGCCAATGATGACTATTGCTATGATTGCTGTTTTCTCCATATAATTTCCATGAGGACAGGAATTTTTGTTGGTCAGTTCACTGTTACAGGCCTAATGCCTAGAAGTGGGCCTGGTATACTGAAAAAAATTTAACAGTTGCTGGAGGAATAAATAAAAATTAACTTACACAGGTATGTCATTTATACATGATAGAGCTAGGACTCAAACCAGGTCTTTGACTTTAAAACTTGTGCTCTTTTTATTGCCCATTATTCAGGATGCAGTTGAATACCAAGATCCTCATCTTATTTAAACTCAATTTTTCTCTTTTACAAAGAAGACATATTTAGGAAGAATAATATATAGCTAACAATTATGGAGTTATTACCATGTCTAGGACTGTTTTAAGCACTTTGTAGGTATTAACCCATCCAATCTTCACAACAACACCATATGGTATGTACTATTACTATTTACATGTATGAGGAAACTAAGGTACAGAGTAGTCAAATGACTAACCCAAAGTCTCATAATTAGTTATTTCTGCTTGGAGTAAATAGCTGTATATGTTCTTTCTTCCAAACTTACCTCAACTGAGAGTCTCTTTAAATGCCTTACAAACAAATATTTGGTAAACCCAGGGTCTTGAAATGTTGTCTAGTGTTATACTGTTCACACTCCCTATTGAGAAAGAACAACTTCCATTTGTAGCTAAATCTTAACATTTAGAAATGAAAAATTTAGTCATTTCTACATTAAAACTTAAAATCTTGCCTTGAAAATTATGGTGTTGAGTCTTACTTTATAAATTGGATCTGAACATAATACACCCTATGTGAATACCAGCGTTTATGAATAGTCACTTAAACTATAATAAAATCCTAAATTTGATTAGCTCTTTGCATATACTTTCATTTAGAAGGCTCTCATGTTTGATCTTTATGGTAATGTTTGAGAAGCTCTCAGAAACAGTATTCTCTCCAATTTACAGATCAGAAAATTGAGAGTCAATTAAGGTAAAAAATCCTCTTAGGGTTACGTAGGTAGTAAGTGATCAAGCCAGGATATTTCCAAATCCTAGTCCAGTTCTTCATATTAATCTAGACAGTTGTTGCCAAGATTTATACTGACCTGAGGTAATTAAATCAAGTGCAGCAGGAATGCCAATGAGTCTGGGGAGAAGCTGGGTTCCTCTTGCACCAGGAAGAATTCCTAGTGTGACTTCTGGTAAGCCAACTTGAGCCTGTCAAAGATTGAAAGCATAAAGGCCATTAGAATGAGATGATACATTCAGAGTTAAGGCAAGTATTCCCCTGGATTTCTCAATACACTCTCAAAAGCATTTTTTCCATCAAATTGAACAAAGATTTCTACAGGGCAAGTCTGAACACACCCTCTCCTTTAATTAACAGCATAAAAAGAGCTGTGCTTTCCCTAAGTCTTTATGTTGAAACACATCTCTAACGTCTGTTTTTTTTTTTTTTTTTGAGTCAGAGTCTCACTGTAGCCCAGCCTGGAGTGCAGTGGTACGCACATGGCCACTGGAGCCTCAACTTGCTGGGCTCAGGCAATCCTTCCACCTTAACCTTTCAAGCAGCTAGAACTACAGGTGCCCGCTACCATACCCGACTTGTTTTTTTATTTATTGTAGAGACAAGTTCTCACCAATTTGCCCAGGCTGGTCTTGAATCCCTGAGCTCAGGCAATTCTCTTGCCTTGGTCTCCCAAAGTGCTGGGATTACAGGCTTGAGCCACCGTGCCCGGCCTCACATCTCTAACTTTTACACATTTATTCTCTGACTCTATTATGATCTGTCTCAGCCAACAAAAAATAAATCTCCAGAAACAGCTTTCTGGAGCCCTGCAAGAGTTAGGAAGCACAAGAAAGTGAAAAGACAGCCCACAAAATGGGAAAGAATACTTACAAATTATACATCTTTTATAGGACTTATATGTAGAATATATAAGAACTTTTACAACTCAATAATAAATAGAGAAGCAACCAATAAAAAATGAACAAAGGATCTGAATAGATATTTCTCCAGAGAATAGATACAAATGGCCAATAAGCATATAAAAAGATGCTCCGTATCATTACCCATCAAAGGAATGCAAAGTCAAACCACATAAGATATCTCTTTACACCCACCATGATGGCTATAAAAAAAAAGAAGACAATAACAAGTGTTGGAGAGGATGTGGAGAATACAGTAAACTCATGCATTGCTGGTGGGAATATAAAACAGTATAGACACTTTGGAAAAAATTTTGCAGTTCCTTAAAAGTTAAACATAAAGTTACCATATAGACCCATGAAGTTCACACCTGAATATATACCTAAGAAAAATATGTCCACAAAAACATATGTCCACAAAAATCTTGCATGCAAAATTTCAAAGCATTATTGTACATAAAAACCAAAAGAGAAGAGGCAACCCAAATGTCCATGAACTGATTAATAAAGTGTGGTATACCCATACAATGAAATATTATGCAGTCACATAAAGGAATAAAGAACTGGTTCATGCTACAACATGGATGAATCTTAAAAACATTATGCTGGCCATTGCTTTGCTAAGCTCTGATCTGGCCATATGGCTCCTTGAGCTATGGCTGCCATGTTTTTCTTGAGCTTTGGTCCCCTCCCTTACCTTGGGGAGGTGAATCTCCTCTCTCTCTCACCAATTTACTTTCTAAATAAACTATACTTTTCAATCTAAAAACAAAAACAAAACAAAACAAAAAAAATTATACCAAATAAAATAAGCAAGTCTCAAAAGACCATGTATTATATGATTCAATCTACATAAAATATCCAGAATAGGCAAATATATAGAGACAGAGATTAGTGGATGCCTAAGACTGGGGGAGAAGGGAATGGAAGGTTATTGCTAAAGAACATAAGGTATCTTTTTGGGGTGACAAAATGTTCTAACATATACCATGATAATGCTTGCATGACTGTGATAAACTCACATACCATTGAATTAATATACCATTCATTTATATACTACAAATGAATTAATCATATAGTGTATAAATTATATCTCAGTAAAGTTATTATTAAAGAAAAAAAAAGTCAGACAGCAACCTCAATCCAGACAAGAAGGTGAACTTAAGTCCTTTATCACATTGCCTTTCCTGGCCATTGTAAAGTCTCCAAAGGTCTGTAGTCGTTTATAGGTATAAGGGTGAGAAAGGGGGTACTTAATTGCAGACTGCCATTTACCCAGATTGTGATTCTAGCAGTTCCAAAATACTTCACATATATGAGGTCTCTCTCACATGAGGTTTTCCTAACAGTCAGTCACAATTCTTTCTATTACTGTTCATCCCTACTCCCTAACTCACTGCTAGTAACTCAGATCTGCACTCAGGGCACAGAAGGTCATGGTAAAAAGGACACAGGAAAGGAACACTTAGGATGTATATATGCTTTTATTTATAAGCTTTTATAAAAGTTAAAACACTATTGGGAAATGGTTACATAAACTGTAGTTTTTATATGGTGAAAAATTATGTAGAAATATATAATGATTTTTTAAAGAATATTTACCATAAGATTAACATGATTTATCATCAGGAACCATGGAGGCCAGAAGGCATGGGATGACATATTCAAAGTACTAAGACAACAACTGTGAATCGATAATTCTATATCCAGCAAAACTATCCTTTGAAAATTAAGGCAAACTGAATGCATTGCCAAATAAATAAAAATTGATTTGTTGCTAGCAAATCTGTCCTACAAGAACTCCTTCTGGTGAAATGAAAAGACACTAGACAATAACTTAAAAGAAGAAACAGAGAATGCTAGTAAAAGATAACTACATAGGTAAATATAAAAGACAATACTAGTGTATTTTTATTTGTAATTCCTCCTTTTCTTATCTGATTTAAAGAAATGCTATGTAAAGTAATAATAATAAATCTATGTTAAGGGGCACACAATGTGTAAAGATACAATTTGTAATAATAACAGCATACAGGGACAGGTAACAAAGCTATAGAAGAGCAAATTTTTTGTACACTATTGAAATTCAGTTGGTATTAACCTGACATAGATTGTTATAAATTGAGATGTTAATCATCATCACCAAGGCAACCACCACTAAGACTATAACTCAAAAAATAGACAATAAAAGAAACAACAAGAAAATAAAATGAATACATTAGAAAGTATTATTTAATCATTACTGAAAGCAGTAATGGAGGAACTGAGGAACAAAAAATGGCATCAAGCATAGAAAACAAATAGCAAAATGGCAGAAGTAAGTTTTTCCTTATTAGTAATCACATTAAATATAAATGTATTAAATGCTTTAGTTAAAAGACAGATTAAGCCGGGCTCAGTGGCTCAGCCTGTAATCCCGCACTTTGGGAGGCTGAGGTAAGTGGACTGCCTGAGCCCACAGGTTCAAGACCCACCTGGACAACTTGACAAGACCTCATCTCTACAATAAAATTTTAAAAAATTAGCCAGGCATGGTAGCACAAGCCTGTAGTTCCAGCCACTTGGAAGGCTGAAGCAGAAGGATTGCCGGAGCCCAGCAGGTCAAGGTTGCAGTGGCCGGGAACATGCCACTGCACTCCAGTCTGGGTGACAGAGTGAGACTCCAACTCAAAAAAAACAAACAAAAAAAAAGAGCGGTGGAGTAAATTTAAAATTTTATTAGTGTGTCAAATATTATAGTATAAAAATAGAGTATAAAAGAAATAGAACAAAATCCCAAATGTGGTAATGATGAGTTGGTAGGACTAGAGTCTCTGAACTTTTCACTGAGGATACGAGAAAGCACCTGATCCACTCCATCTTGTCTGTCCTCCCCTCTTCACCCAGCTTCATGTTTTAACTTGAGTTGCCTGCATGGTTCTAATACATATTCCTTTTATGACATTTCAGGAATTTCCTGACAAAAAGGATGTCCTATATTTGGTGTTGGGCAAATCCTAGAAAATTACACCTTCCCTATATTAACCTATATGAGCAGCTGTCAATTTATTGAGGGGGGAAATTGTCCAGAAATTTGGGGACACATCAAGTACAGAGAACTTGTTATACTTTATGTGAGTATATATGTGAGTGTATATGGTTTAAACAAAATAATTCCAATAAAATATTCAAGGAAAAAAAAAATCCCAAATGTAGTTTTTCAAAAAAATAAAGTTTTCAAAGGAAAAGAAACTGTCATTTAAAAAATTACATAGGTAAAAGACCAGAAGGAAATATAATAGAATGCTAATAGTAGTAATTTCTGAACCGTGAGTCTATGGTGATTTTACTTTATATCTTTATACTTTCTTGTATTTTCTTATCTAGTACAATGATGGATATTATTTTTATCATTAAAAAACTACATTACTTATAAAAATCTACTATTTTACATTCTGTGATCCACACTGGTATCACAGACCACACTCTACATGCCTAATAGCCCAAATTAAATCTATTTCCAGAATTAAATGCATTTACTAGTTTTGTGCTATTTTCCAATAGAAATCTGCCTTCTTAGGTACTGAAATCTTTGAGTTATCAAATGAGTATGTAAATACATACTTAGGGATGATAGCCAAAGTATTTAATACCTCATACTGCATGAGCATGAGATCAGTGAAACCTGATATGGACCATAGTACTGGAGCAGAGTCCTGGGGACACTCTATTGACTCAGGAGTTCCCCTTCAGTTGCTGGATCATAGTGAAGTCCTAGTGCTAAGGTTAAGGAAGCAATGAGACAGAAGACTCAGAGTAGCAGATCTTTACCAACCAGAATGGAAGTACAGTATTGCAATATTTTAAATTAGTACTACTGTACTGGTACATAACAGCTGAGCGCCACGGCTAGAGATACCCAGAGTTGCTAATCAGTAAGCTAGCTATTTAAGATTATCACCTCTGATGCTTATGATGACATTTAGAGCTTGCTCTAAAGAAAAGTTCCACATCTCAACCCCCAGATGGTGTCTTAGTTGTTACCTCTGCATGGGCTATCCTATAGTGACAGGCGAGGGCCAGCTCTAGTCCCCCTCCTAGAGCTATGCCTTGGATAGCTGCCACCACAGGTTTCTCATAACTCTGTATTTCATCTACTACGTGTTTCAGTACATTGCCAAAGGCTGTAGGAGTGCCAAAGCCACGGATATCAGCACCTAAGGACACAAAGACAAAGAGAAAAGAGGGTTGAGAAATACTTTGACTTGTTATACAAGTTACCTGATAACTCATAAAAAGTCTCAGCCATTTTTGGGCCCTTATATTTCACCCTTTGATTGGAGACACAATAAAGGAGCAAGTAGCCTAGAAAATGTAGATGACATGAAAGAAAATTCTCAAATCTTTACCAGGAATCCTGTAATTGTCTACTATCTCTCTTTCTATACGATAAGTAGCAACTCTATCTTTAAAAAACTTAAAAACCTCAGAAAAGACGAACAGGGATTCTCCTCAAAAGATCATTATTATTCTAAGACTGAGTCAGCCCGTCTCCCTTTTTCTGTGATACTGCTCATCAGCCCTAACTCACAGCAATTTTGTTCCAAATCTTTGTTAAGGACAGGATTCATTACAACACAAAATATCAGGGTAACATGCACACCTATTTGTTAATCAATCAGCTTAGAATGTTTTTCCAATAGTTTTTTAATCTTCAGCAAAAGTAACATGCATTGGTTTTCCTGATTATAAAATTTTATGAAAAATTAGAAAACATGCAAAATTACATAAGAACATAAAAATCATCATAAATATCACCACACAGATACGACAATTTAATATTTTGAAGAATTCTTAGTTTTTATCCTCATGTATATATCCAAATAGATTTGTGACCGTGAATAAGCTATTTAACCTTTTTGTCTTGATACCTATCTTAAGTGACTGATGTGAGAATTAAATGAAAGTTTAATAAATAGTTAATATTTAAAGCATACTATAAAATCTTTTTTATATTTTCCTATTTTCATATAACATTGTACTTAGTAAGCTTTTTCCTATTGTATAATCTACTCTTTGATAACATCATAAACTTGGTACAAGTTTAAAAACTTAAAGTAATTATTCCATGTTTAGTCTATTGATCTTTCTTTTTCTTTTTTTTTTTTGCTACCTGCTTTCATCTAGCATCAATCCAGGGCTTATACTTTTTTTCCCACCAATTCACCAAATTTCACTCCAGTGTTTTGTTTTTTTGTAGATTCCTTTTGGTTCTAGAGAAACAAGATAAATTTCAGTCTGAGTCTCAAGTCTATCACTCCTGTAGCTTTAGACTGAGATGGTTTTTCATATAATAGAAATTAACATTTATTGGGTAAATGCATCAGGCACCATGCTAAGTAGCTTCATATATTGTCTAATTTAATTTTCATAACACCTAGGTTAAGTTGCATAATAACCCCCATTTTACAGATAGGGAAGTTAATGCTTTGACATATTGAGGGACTTGTTCAGAAATATAAGTAGTAACTGGTAGAATAGGAATTTGAATTTAGGCAATTTGACCACAAAGCCCACATTCTTTTTTTTTTTTCCCTTGAGCTGGAGTCTCACCCCATTGCCCAGGCTAGAGTGCAGTGGCATGCTCATGGCCACCCCAGTGTTGACCTGTTGGACTCAGGCGATCCTTCTGCCTCAGTCTTCCAAGTAGCTGGAACCACAGGTGCACGCTACCATGCCCAGCTAATTTTTTGATTTATTGTAGAGATGAGGTCTTTCCAAGTTGCCCAGACTGTTCTCAAACCTGTGGACTCAGGCAATCCTCTCACCTTGGTCTCCCAAAGTGCTAGGATTACAGGCTTAAGCCACCACACCCTGTCTACATTCTTAACAGCCATACTATATTCTTCTGCTTATAGCATAAGGTTAGTATTATTATTATTATTCCATTTTTACAGAAAAGGCAGAGACAAGAGTATAGAGATTTTACTTTTTAATTATTTCTGGCATACCAAAATTCAATTAATTTGATATTGATTTTATATTCAGCAAAACTGCTAAATTCTCTTATATTCTCAATTTTCTGCTAGATTATTTTGATTTTTCTACAAGCATTATCACGATCATTTTTATTTTTCTACAAACATTAACATATCTCCTGAATAATGAAGCTTTGTTTCTTCCTTTTCAATTCTTATACCTTTTGTTCTTTTGCTAGCTTTACAGAGTTGGCTAGTACCTCAAATACAAAGTCAAATAGAAATGGTGCGAGCAGTCAGCTTTTTCTTCCTCCTTGCTCACAGGGAAAGTTTTCAATGTACCATTTTGTGTGATGTTTGCTGTGGATTTTTCAAAATAGATATATTTTGCCTGATGAAGACATTTCCTTCTTTTACCTAGTTAACTAAGAATCTTTCTTTTTAATGCATGTCAAATGCATGTTAAAAAATCTTTTTTCTGCATCTCTTGACATAATCATATGATTTTTCTTTTTAATATCTTAATCGTATGAATTTCCTAGTGTTCAACCAATCTGATATTTCTAGGACAAAAGTGATCATATTATACTTTTTATATGTTGTTAGCTCCAGTTTAATAATACACTGGGTTTTTTAAAATTACTTCTAGATTTGGTGTGTGTGTGTACAGGTTTGTTATATGGATTCACTGTATAATGGTAAGGTTTGGGTTTCATCATTCAAAAAGTGAACACTGCCAATAGGTAATTTCTCACCACTCTCCCCACTTTTGAAGTTCCCATGTCTATTATTTCCTTTTGTATATCCATATGTACCCATTGTTTAGCTCCCACTTATAAGTGAGAATATGCAGTATTTGACTTTGTTTCTGGTTTATTTCACTTAGGATAATGGCCTCCAGTCCTATTCAAAAGACATGATTTCATTCTATCTATGACTGTTTAGTATTCCATGGTGTATATGTACCACATTTTTTAAATCCAGTCATCTGTTGATAAACACTTAGGTTGAATCCATTACTTTGCTATTGTGATTAATGCTGCTTTAAACATACAAGTACAGGTGACATGGATTTTTCAGGTTAGCCTGGTCTTTGAGAGCATCAGCTCAATGGATTGGCCAGCTGAGCACCAGAGAGGGTCAACCCAATGGGCAGGCAAGCCTCGCACCAGGAGTGTTGGGTCTAATGAACTGGCAAGCCAAGCCCTGAAAGTGTTGATGATTCGGTGGGTCAGTCTAACCCCAGGAGTGCTGGCTCTAATGGGCTGGCAAGCCAAGCCTTGAGAGCATTGTAGCCCCTAGAAGTAACTCAATTTCAGAGTTTTGCCTTCTTCCAGCAACTCTTCTGGTTCAGCCCTGGGGTGCATGGCTCTTCAGCTCCCATAATCTTTTGTATCTTTTGCAGCTCTTTAGGTCAGGTTCCTGCCCCATGCCCACGAGGAATGAGGGACACAAACAGCCAGAAACTGTTGAGAATGCAGGATTTATTGAGGGGAGAGAAAAGTGGGAGAGGACCCAAAGGGGTTGCTAGTGGGGGTCGAAATTTCGTTGCTTATATATCCCTAAGTCTGAGCTGATTGGCTAGCACTAACTGTAAGCTGATTGGTCAGCACTTGCTGTGCTGATTGGTCAGTACTAAGGACCAATTGGCAGGAGGTAGGGGCCTAGTGGTGATCTGATTGGTCAGTATTTGGCAGCGAGCTGATTGGTTGTTTTTCTATCCCAGCAGTGAGTACTTAAGTTCTAGCTTGAGAGGCTCCTAGGAAGCTTGTTTACCAATGCCAGTGTATGGGCCAGAGAGGCCTGCCGGAGTTTGCTACATTGCTACTGGGGGACCCACCCTGTCTGCCTGCCTAGCCTTTCTCTAGCTATCTCCTCTCTCACAGGTCTCTCTTTCTGATATAATGATTTATTTTCCTTTGGGAAGATACACAGGAGTGGGAATGCTGAGTTGAATGGTAGTTTTATTTTTAGTTTTAAAGAAATCTCCATGCTGTTTTCCATAGAGGTTGTATTAATAACATCTGTTTTCTACACAACCTTGCCAACATCTATTGTTTTTTGACTTTTTTTGTGAGGAAGCAGGATTTATTGAAAGGACAGAAAAGCTCCCACAGTGGGAGGAGACCCAAGGGGGTTGTCCTTGACTTTTTAATAATAGCCATTCTGATTGGTGTGTGGTTATATCTCATTGTGGTCTTAATTTGGATTTTTCCTGATGATTAATGATGTTGAACATTTTTTTATATGTTTGTTGATCACTTGTATGTCTTCTTTTGAGAAATGTCTGTTCATGTCCTTTGCCTATTTTTTTAATGGAATTATTTCTTTTTTTCCTTGTTCAATTATTTGAGTTCCTTGTAGATTCTGAATATTACTCCATTGTCAGATGTGTAGTTTGCAAATAGCTTCTCCTGTTCTGTAAGTTGTCTGTTTAGTCTGTTGATTATTTCTTTTGCTGTACAGAAGCTCTTTAATTAAGTTCAATTTGTCTATTTTTGTTTTTGTTGCATTTGTTTTTGAGGTCTTAGTCATAAATTATTTGCCTAGGTCAATGGCCAGAAGACATTTCCCTAGGTTTCTAGGATTTTTATAGCTTCAGGTCTTACTTTTTTTTTTTTTGAGTCAGGGTCTCACTCTGTCATCCGGGCTTGAGTGCAGTGGCATGATCACAACTCCCTGTGGCCTTGACCTCCTGGGCACAGATGATCCTTCTGCCTCAGCCTCCTGAATAACTGGGTCTACAGGCTTGTACCACCACACCAGGCTAATTTTTTTTTCCTTTTCTTTCTTTCTTTTTTTTAATAGAGACAAGGTTTCACTATGTTGTCCCGGTTGGTCTCTAACTGCTAGGCTCAAGCAATCTTCTCACTTCGATCTCCCAAAGTGCTGGGATTAAGGTATGAGCCACTGTACCTGGCCAGATCTTATATTTAAGTTTTTCATCCATTTAAGTTTTATATATGGTGATAGATATGAGTACAGCTTCATTCATTTATATATGGCTATCCAATTTACCCAGCACCATTTATTGAATAGAGTGTCCTTTCCCTATTGTACATTTTTGTCAACTTTGTCAAAGATCATTTGGTTGTAGGTGAGTGGCTTTATTTCTACTCTGTTCCACTGATCTATGTGTCTATTTGTGTACAATATTGTATAACAATATTGCTTCTTCCAATCCAATCCATGAGTATGAAATGTTTTTCCATTTGTTTGTATAATTTACAAGTTCTTTA